TTTTTATATCAGCCGCTACTCTTCCTTTAAGAAGAATTTTTTTTAGCTTTATTTAGTTCTTGTGTTGTCCACTTAAAATTTTCCTCTTTTATGCTACAAGCCACTAAGACTCATGAAAGCCACAAATCACTTCAACCACACAATTTTCATCGAAAAATAATCCGTGACTGTACTTATTTGCAGGGGTAGAATCGACCTCTCTTTTGACGATGTGCAAAATAACTGTGAAATACATAATTTTATGTATGAAACAGAAAACAAGAATATTTTTTCTGAGAATTTAGGCAACTGCAATTATTGAAGGTGAGCAAAACACTTAAAATGCTTATTCTTCTTAGAAAAAAAAAGTAATAGTGAGCAATTGCCCACCCTAAGCTCTTCTAGATTCCACCCCTACTTATTTGGAGGGTTATCATATTTGATACATAAGCTCCATCAATTGAATTGCTTAAACAAATGGGTTGACCTTCCTTTACTCTCATGTAAATAGTAAGAATGGAATATATAAATTATGCTATTAGATTAACCCAAGTAATCATATTAGATTCACATGTAAAGCATTTATTAAAAAACTATGCTCATCCATTTTTTAAGAGCGTAATGTGGTCCTCTTGTGTCAACAGTAACTGGAGATTCAAGAGATGCCTGGATTTCTGACTGTCCTATATCCTCTTATTTCCTTAATATTTTTGAATTAATTTGGAATCAGGACGGCTCTATTACTTCTCAATTTTTTTGGGTAAACCCGGGGAAAAAAGCTCATGTATTAAAAATCAAAATTCAAAATACAAGTAACCTGAAAGGAAGAGAAAAATAACTTTAAAAGAAAAACAATAAAGAACATAAGACTATAGCCATCTAAGGCAACTACAAGGAGACAAACAATCACAAAGACGCAGGGAAAAAAAGACCAGATCCAGTCCACATAATCTTTCAGTTTGAAACAAACATTGTCTAGGGAGAAGCTCCAGTTGCCCACGGATCCGGAGTAAGAAAGGCCATCACATAGCCCCTAGGCATCAACGAACGCGGCAAAAAATGTGCCAGGTTGCCACAAAGGCCTTCCATGGCACCAAAAGCAGGATCTGATCTTGCTCATCATTGTCTGATTATTAAATTGCCTCCACCAGTAGTAGCCATCAAGACAGAAATAACCAGTGCCGAAAACCAATAAATGAGCATAATGTTCTTAAAAAATGAATCAGGATTGGGCTGAAAGACTAAACCAGCCACAATCACCAAAATGTTCTTCCCAGATCTAAAAAAGAAGAGAAAACCAAATCAATTCTCCCAAAAAACCAATGAGCCAAATATTGCAGCAGAAACCAAAGGCAGAACCAGAAAAGAAAGCAGCCCAGATAAATCTTAAGCACAACAATGATCAAAATAAAGTTAGATACCATAGAACCTTTGTAAAAGATTGTCTTTGTTTTTCCATTTTGATATTTTAAATCTAATAGCAGTAGAGATGTTGCAAATTAGACTAACCGAGTTAGTTCTCAAATCAGAGAAATGCCGATTGTTTCTCTCACGCCAGATGTGGTACAAAATGCAGCTAACAGTTAAGCAGCAAAAATCCTTCTCAATACGACTCTAGTTGCTAGAATTATTAAAAAATTCTAAAACCTGAGATAATGTGGGCCTCAGCAAGAAACTATTAACATCGGGTAAGATAAACTTGAGAATGTTAAATGAGAAATCACAACCAAAGAATAGATGATTACAGTTCTCAGCAAAACAAAGGCAAAAGGAGCACAAAGGAGGCACCTGTATCCCCCTAATCAACAAGTTATCAGTAGTTTTAAGTTTACCGATCATAGCCATCCAAGAAAAACAAGCAATTGGGTGTTGGGTGAATATATTATTCAAGGCTAGGGATTCAGCCTTTATGCTTTATTAAAAGTTTCTATCTTTTCTGACAATATTGGCAGGGTGAGTTAAACGGGAAAAATTCTAAGTTAAAAATTATTTATACTTTTATTTTATTTATTTATTGAAAAAATAGTTTAATCATTGCATACAAAGATTTATGAAGAATATTCATTTTCTTTTGTATTATTTGGATGGAAATTAGGGAGTAAGAGTGTCTTAAAAAATGTGTATAATATTGAAGGCTCTTATTGATTTATATTACTATTTTGATTCTCTTTTGCACAGAGAAGATAGTAGGGGTGCTTAGGAGATGCCAAGGAGATCTTTGCAAGAACCACTTATGCAACTCTTGATCCACCAAAAAAAAAATTATCTTAGTACTAATTTTAGACTTTTCTGGTTATTTTAACCACCACTAAATTGCATGCAGCAGTTTTGAAATCATTATATGACTGCTGTGATTACAATCAACTACAAAGACATTCAATGGGGTTTTCGAAACTGTTGTGATAGAAAGGATGAAGTGCTAGTCCTCAATATTACAGAATAACCTCTACTTTACTTCGTATTTTGCAGCAGTTAGAATAACAAATAATTGTGGAGGTTTAAACCGTCGCATTGTCTACAAAATTGTGGTAGTTATAATTGCCGCAAATCTGTAGAGTTTTGGGAATTAAAACCATCGCTAATCTGTAGAATCGTGGTAGTTAAAACTTCTACGAAAGCTGCAGATTTTTTTTTTAATTTTTAAATTACCCGCATTGCTCCAATAAATAGCAAAGTTTCGTCACAATTGATCATATAAAAATCAACAACAGTATCTTTCATGTTTTTTGTTTTAGTGCAAGAGAAGGCCGTAATAAGGCAAAGCAAGTAAAAATATGCAGAATCTGCTAAAAGAGTACGAAAACATAAAATTTTTATTTAACTACGTAGCATGTTAATGCACGTGCACATTGGTAAAGCTCGACAGGATGGTTAATTAATATATATATAATCTAGCCTATCAGTTTGATTTGAATATCGGCCATCGTGTGACAATTCAGGAAAGAAGAAGCACTTTAGTGGTTCCTATATAGTTTCAACTTTCAACATTTCTTCATATAGAATGCTGTTGTTGAAGTCAGCCTGAGAGCTTGATCACTAGGCTTTCATCATCATCTAACTGTAACCCTGACTGCTATAAAGGTAAAGAAAAAAAAAAGGCCAGCAATTATTAGATCAGTGATGTTCATTATTTTTTAATGATAGGAATATAATATTTTAACCCTTTTAATACTTTACTCTTCCTTATAGATATATTCTACAGTATAACATGCTCAAATATAGAAAATATTCAGATTTTAATTAAGTACTAACTCAAAAATATATTAGATTTAGCTTTCCTAACAGTATCTCTGAGGGGACACAGAAAAGAGCAGGTGGAAATTAGAGCTTGTGGTTATAAAAGATGAAAGGAAAAACAAAAAAAAAAATGGACAGAATGTAATTTGATATGTGCCTGCAAATAATTTCAGACAAAAGAAATCATGAAGAGCATTCTGAGCAAAACTGTATCAATAATAGAAAGCTTTGAAGATATTTTTTAAAGTATTATTGAATTTTGCTAGATAAATAAGTCATACAGTTGAAAAATAACTTGTAAAATTAACAACAAATAAGTTTATTTTATTAATAACTATAATATCATTATATTCTAAAGGATATATTGCAGGCAACAAAATGATCCCTTTAATTGAATTCTATCTAAATTTGAGTAGACTGGAGAAAAGGGGAGACAGAAAACGATAGGATCATAAAGAAAGAGGTGATGAGGCATTACAGGTTATAAATAGGTGGCAAATAAAAACAAAAGTTTGACAAGACTTGACAAGTAAAAAAGATTGACCTGCATCTACTCACTCATTCAATGCTTGCTTAGATTCTCGTTGTCTCCCTCTTTCCTCTTTAAACCCCACCACATCCCCACATGCACTTGCACCACACTCATAAGCCTAAAAACCTTCAGTCATTTCACCAAAAGCACTTAACAAAAACAGCTGCATATGCACATTACAATCTTCTAAGTCCTATCTTTTAACAAGAAGTTAAATGATTTTTTAATTAATCTCAAGTACTAAGAGATCCTTAGATGAGCAGTGTTTTCTTATTGCAATTTTATTTTATTTATTAAATCTGTTTGCAATGATTTATCTTTCTAAATTATGTTTAAAATATTATTTAATCAAAACTACTCTTAACTCAAAGAATTTTTTACTAAATTATGAATAATTTTATGAGAATTTTAGTTTTTATGAAGTTCTGTGAGACAAACAAGCAACTGACATAATTTTCTTTAAGTCATAAAATCAAGACTATCACTATAGATGTTAATTCTCGCTATTTGGTTGAAGAACATAAGTAATATATATATCAAAAGTGCTCATCAGCATAATTAAGTTATAAAAACATCTGAAATGTTAAATTTAATCTCATATCAAATATAATATATATGGAAATATTATAAGATTGGTGACTCTCATTTGTAGGTTTAATTTTTTGATATAAAAAGATTATGATTATTAATATAATTTTTAAATTTGATCTCTGTTGTTTCTGACCTTGCTAATAATTGATATCAAGCAATTAATTGACCTGTCAAATGATTTAAAGCTTAGAACTTTTTAATAATGTTTTCATGGTTGACAGCATGAATAATTTATTTATAATTATATTTTAATGCTAACTTTTGATTTAAATATGTGAATAAATAAATAAATTAAACAGTCCTCCTAAAATCTGTCAATTTTATGTTTTGTTTTATCATATTTTCTATCCTCCTCTGCATAACTATTTCAATACCCTCTCAATGTTCTATAACATAAAAATTTAATATTGGACTTACAAATCACTATGTAAAGTGTTTATTTAAGTCATAATTAAAAAAAAAGGTCTGATAATTAAAATTTAGCTTGTTTTCAATGTATGTGCGTTACTGTATGAACATTTACAGCAATTTATATATAAATTACAGCTTCAATTGTCACAATACATAACAGCACATGAATGCAACGAAGTTGTAGACAGCACTGCCTCAACTGAACAAACAAAGAAAAAAAGAAAGGAAAACCCCCCAACAACCCTACAGCTTCATTCCAAGTTACTAATCAATCATCTTTCCAAAAATACAGATAAATTGAAACAACCACAACACCAAAGATATATAACCCAACGTAAAATATAGATAGACAAGTGAGACAAAATGACAAATAGAGAGGGATAGAGAGAAAACAGTTTCTCCCTACATTATCGAATTGTAGCTATGGAAAGTGGTCATGTTGAGAATACAACGAAGATGGCCCTATACCACCACTGCTCCCTTGAGATCTACTACTACTACTATCACAATCCAGCCTAGCAGCTGCTGCCATTCCGAGATTCAGATATACCATCCTTGAATCTACGTTTCCGTTGCTGTTCGCCGCAGCGGCAGCTGCGGCGGCGGCGGCGGCCGCTGCCTCTTCTCTTGAAAGCACCATAGCCGCGGATTGCACGAGCTCAAGGCACAGCCTTAGCTTATTTGGCTCGATATGAGTGAGCCCTGGGATGGCGCCTTTGAATAGAAAGTCAGAAGTGAGGGAGCGAAGAATATCGAGCGGGGTGATCCCTTCAATTGTCCGGACATTAGGGTCCGCATGGTGGTCTAACAAAACGGCCACCATGTCGGGACAAACCATCTCGGCGGCAATGTGGAGTGGTGTCTTACCAGTCGGGCCGGCGGGGCAGTTCACATCAGCTGCACCGAGCTCCAACAATGCCTTCACGACCTCGCGAGTGCAGTTTTGGACGGCGTAATGGAGGGCGAGAGAGTCGTCGAGGTTGAGGCCCTCGCCCATGACCATGAGCTTGACGAGCTCGACGTCAGAGGAGTCAAGCGCCCGTCTCATCCTACGGATCTTGTTGTGGTGTTCGTCGGATTCGGAGGCGACGTTGAGGGGGAGGTGGCTGTGGGGGAGGAAGGCGGGGCGGCAGGCCAGGGAGGATTTGAGGCGGAGTTCTTCGATCTTAGCGACGACATCAATGGGTAGGTGCTTGGCAAGTACCTCAGGGGTCAGGCCGGATTTTGATACAAGATGGGAGCAGGTGTTCCACAGCTGATGGAGTTCTTGCTTACGAGAAGCAAGAAGAACTCTCATTACATCATCTATTGATGCTTTCTCCACCATGCTTTCAAGCTGCTTCTGCATTATCAATTCAATATAAATATATTTTTATTCCTGTCGATCAATTATATATGCAAATGTTGTACACACATAAAAATACAGTCAACTCAACAAATTGGATGAGACGAAAAAATATGGAGAAAGAGGGACACAATCAAAAAGTAGATGAAAATTAGTACGAATATAGTATAAATTTTTTGTTGCAGAAAATCTCAATCACTATCATTCAAGGATAAATTAACAATCTTAATGATATATATTTATAATAATTCAAATTAACATATTTTTACAGCCTTCTCAGACGCTGTGATTCTCTCATACAGAATATGTCGCACGAACAAGAATGTCAAAAGTAAGCTTACTTTACATGTCAGAAAAGCAATATTGGTCTATGAAAAATGAGTTCGTTACTTAGATATAGAGGATTTATAAATAAATCTCAAATTATAAGGATAAAACAAAGGAGGTCGCTGATATGAATTTGCTAATTTGCAGTGGCTTCTAATTGAGGCTCAAGCAGATGCTGGAGAAGGAAATTAGGGTTTAGAATTTGGATGTGATAGGGCTTGCAAGAGAAGCATTGGAAATGTAAACACTGAAAAATGTAAGAAACTGTTGGGAAAAGAATGGCTCCAAGCCCTAGAAATTGGGATTGCTGCATGAAAGATTTGAGTCGAAAAGGGGAATTAAAAAACCTTAATTCACGATTGAGATGTGATGGATTGTGTTAAGTAACTAATTGAAAAGATGCCTAGATTTGAGAAATTTAAGAGTAATTGCCACTGATTGAGTCTTGAGTCTCGAATCTGGCTCTCTTGAAAAATAATAAAAAGATAAAAAATCAAAAGAGGGAGGGGGGCAGGTGGAGGGAAAGCGAAATACATTGAATGAGAACCTAAAAAATGGAGAAAGAATGGGGACTGCAGTGCAGCGCAGCGCAGCTTCTGACTGCTTCCGTAACAAACAAAGACATAAGTGTTCAATAAAGTAAAAGAACTCAGGAATGAATGATGCAAATAATAAAAAGCCTTCTTCTTAGCCTTTTCTACCACAGATGACATATCAGAAATTCTTAATTACCTGAGTGAGAAGAGCGAGCTGATCAACACCAAAGGATCGAGCGGCAGCAAGAGTGTCAAGAGCAAGATCAATGGCGGAGGAACAGTGCGTGTGCCAACATCCCCGATCCCCACAATTAGGTCTTGGTTCGTGTTTGGGTGGCACGAGAGAGACCTGGCCACTATAGAGGAATTGAAGCAAAAGAAGGAACACCTCGTAGCTGACCGATGTTACCGGGATTACAGCGCCGCTGCCTCCGCCTCTCGGCGAGGCTGGGGAAGCTACGGAAACGGCCCGGCTCGAGCGATAGTGATGGTGGTTGTCGAGGAGGAGGTGGAGACCAGGAGAAGAGTCGGCCGAGCCACAGAAGAAGCGGCGGAAGAAGAGGCTGCGAGCGGCGAGGATGCAACGGTGGGCGTGGACGAGGCGGCCTTCTACGCTGAAGGTGACGTCGCTGAAGGCTTGACCGTTGATGAGGAGGTTGAGGTAGTCCATGGACATGGACTTGAGGGACTCCTCCATAGGATCTTCTTTCTTCTTCTGCTTGGAGTCGTCGTATTCTTCTAGTTTGGATTGGGAAGAATGAGATGGAGTTGTGTAAGGATAAAAGAAGTGGAAAGGGGAGGAGCAACACTTCAAAATGTCTATTTCTTCAGCAGAGTACTGATGGTGACTATTGTTCTAAGCTGCGTGGAATGGGGTCAGAATTTTATGAGAGAGGGGTGGGAGAGAGAAAGCGATTTCGAGGGATGTGGGGGCGGCTAAGGTATTTAATGATGGAGGAGAAGTGGGAAATAGTAAGGACTAGAAAATATCTTCTAGGGGAGAGGGGTCTGTTTTACTGGTCTAATGCGGAAAGTTTGAGAATTTAGTATATTTTCAACTTAGAACTTCAACAAAAATGACCTGCTAATACTGTATTGTTTTTTTTTTTATTATTATTATGAAAGTTGAGTGCTAAAATATTAATTTGATATAAATGAAATTGCAATTATTTTACATTTCTAAATTAAAAAAATAAGAATGTGTCCGATGATATTTTATAACCCATCATTTATAGATATGTATATGTGTATATGACTGTGGCATATATATTGATTTGTAAACTTATTGTTCATGATTATATAATTATAAAAGAAGTTCATGAAGAATAGCTGGTGCACAACAAAGTATAAGATTGAGATTTTGTATGGAATAATTTTCTTAATATTTTGTTTTTTAATATATAGCTACTATACTTTCTCTTTAACAATTGTTTTTTCATAGCTTTAAAAAGAAATTGTACTAGAAAGCTATTTTCTATCATAACTTTAAAAGTTATTTTCTCGACAACAATTACATAAAATTGTAAGAAAGTTATCACAAACGAAGTTTGAGTTATAAAAATTTTTTTGAGGATATACCCATATTTATAAAGGATAGGAAATTCATATTGCTCAAAAAGTGATACATAATAACTTTTTTCATGTCTAGCTAAGGTACTATTAATATTAATGAACATGAGGATATTTTAGGCAAATTTTTTCAACACATGTTGACATGTTGTATGTATCTAGTACAAATTTAAATTTTGATAGGAAAAATTTTGAAAAATTAAGCTGAAGTGAAGAATCATCAACATAGTTTTTTTTTTTAATTAAATTCATAAAATCCTCTTTTTATCATGCACACTATTATATGCATAAAATATTTTCTATTACTAATTTTTATCTTTAATTGATTGAATTTACTTCATTGATTATCATAGTTAATCAAGGCTTTGAAAATCAGACTAGATAACGAACTGGAAGGAGAGGTTAGCGGTTCGCTGGTTCGACCGGGGTCAAATCAGATGACGTAATAAATACTTATTATATTTAAATATTATAATAATAACACAATCATTTCTAAATATATAATAAAAAATTGAACATAATCATAATATGAAGCATAACAGAAACATTAAAAATAAATTCAATAAATTTAAAATTAAATACATTATTTTGAGCAACTAACATCTTTTGTACTCATAACTTGAGAGATGAAATCAAAAATTTATCTTCGAATCTTATAGTTTATACTTGCAATTGGTGAAACTCTTAAAATAAAATAAATATGAAATAGTCATTATAATTGTAAATCTGATAATCAAATATAAAGTAAATAAGCAAAACATAATAATATCTTTCGCTTGAAGTCAACTAATTATAAAAAGATTTTAACACTTTATACTAATTGATAAAAAAAGAAAACATGTGCATGATAGAGATGAAGTTAACTATATTTCTCTTTCTCATTTTAATAGTTTCAATATTTTCACAAGAGGAAAATTAAAGATCATTTATAAAGCTGAGTAATTTTGCACACATACAAGGGGGAGAGAGAAAAATGTTTTGAGAGATTTTATCTTAGCAAATCATACTGTACAACTTTGGATCGCACTATACTACATTGTTTGGTACCATATGACTTTTATTCATACTATATGATATGTTATTTTTTTGTCAAAATCCTAGCTGTCAAATGTCAAGATACTAATTTTATTCTGATCGTATCGTACAATTCAATTCGTACTGTACCACTAAAGAGAAATCATCTATTACCGACGAATTTTTATGTTTCATTGCCGATGGACTATTTTTCGACGTCCTTCCGGTGGCTCTTCAGCAGCCTAATTTTTCAGAAGAATTTCCAGTGTCTTTCAAGTTGTTTTGTTTTCGGTGGAGTTTCTAGCGGCCTTTCTAGTGGTTTGTAGTAATTTTTAAAAATTCATATCTTGGCAACTTCTTTTTTTAATTAATTTTTTGATATTTTTCGGTGACCTATTGTAGAAAAATCACCGAAAATATTTGTCGCAGGAAAATACCACAGAAAATATTTTCCATGCACGTGTTTTACTACCATAAAATTTGTCATTGGAAAGCCACCATAAATTTACAAAATTGCTAGAAAATGACCAGTTGTCGCTAGAAAATGCAGCCGGTAAAACATGATTTTCCTGTAGTGTACACCCTAAATAATATATTTCTTAATTTATCCCTCGAAATTAAGTAATTAAATCTTTATTATCAGTCGATCTTATTGTGCGATATCGTTCGTACAATATGATCAGTATAGTATGACTTTGGTCGTCCTAGAGATCATACCAAATGAAAGCAATGAGTTTTATATTAATTGTATTATGTGATGTCCACAATGCTGGATGATGGACAATGTATAAAATTGTTCGTCCCAGAGTTCGTACCAAAGGAAAGTCATGATTTTTATACTGATCGTACTATACGATGTCTATAGTGTTGGACAATCGACACTGTATAATATTGGCTGTCCTAAATGTCATCCCAAATGAATAGAAGGAATTTAGACTTTTTGTACCAAATGATTGTATTATCATATCGTACGATATGTTGTAAATTTTGAACGATTCTTATATCATTTGGTACTAACATAATTTGGTTCAATTGAAAATTAGGGTTTCTTGAAGCCCACTACTTAGAATTTTTTAATATATACTCTTATTAGAAAATCTTTGACTATTTATACTTCAAGAAAGAGAGCCTTGAGGGAGAGAAGAATGAGAGCTTTATGAGAGAAGAGAGGGAGATTTTGTGAGGGGATTAACAAGGTTTCTACAAGTAAAAATCTTATCTAGTATTTATAAGTGCCTACTTGGATTCTTTGTGACTCCAGAGAAGAAGTTCTTTAATAAAGATGGTTGTTATCTGACCATTATTTGGAGGGTGAAAATAGAGTTGTGCTTTTCTGACCATCACCTAGAGGGTTAAAATAGAGTTATGGTTATCTATCCATCACCCGGAGAGTGAAAATAGAATTGAGGTTCTTTACTTATAAAAAAGTCACGGTTCTCTACCACACCAGATTGGTGAAACAGCATATATACGGGCTTCTCCATCTTGCTGTGAGAGTAAAATGAGAGTCTCCAATGAGTGGGCGCAGGTCAGGTTGATCGAACCGCTATAAATTCTGGTGTATTCATTCTGATTATTTTCCACACTTTATTTTTCTGCAATTATATGTGTTTTTGAAAAAATGTGATTTATTTCATTATTATAAAATTTACTTATTTTTGTATTCGCTGTGTAGATTATTGTGTGTGGGTGTGAAAAATTTTTAAAGAATTTATTTTTCCCTAATTTTTTTTTAAATATCCAATTCACCCCTCCCCCCCTGGTTAGCATCGGGCTAGTTTTTAAAGATTTAACAACCTTCATGAGCTTTCAAGCAAGAGCAGTTACTTTTGTTCAAACACAAAGTAGTTTGATTAAGTATTTTCCTATTTCAGTTATATTACATTAAGGATCAACCTTAAGCACTTATCTTTTTGCACTAGTCATAGACGTTCCTACTAGACATTTGCAAGATGATGTACCCATATGTATGCTTTTTGCTGATGATATTCTTTTTATTGATAAGACTAGAGATGGAGTTGAAGGTAAACTTGAATTATGGTGGTCAACCTTAGAGTCTAAAAGTTTTCATTTGAGTAGATCTAAATTCAAATACATGGTGTGCAATTTTAGTAGTAATAGACTTAGTGGCGGTTTGTGAATTTGAGTGATCAAGTCTTTAATAAGTGTTCTCATTTTGGATATCTTGGGTCTATTGTTCAGAGTGATTGTGAAATAGATGGGGATGTTATTAGTAAAATTCAAGCTGGATGGTTGAAGTGGATGAATGTTTTGGGTTTGTTTTGTGATAGAAATATATTACTCAAATTTAAGGAAAATTTTTATAAGATTGTGGTGCGACCTACAGTGCTTTATGGTGCGGAATCTTGGCCATTAAAAGATAAAAAAAATATTAAGTTAAGTGTTGCTAAGATTAGGATTCTTAGGTGGATGAGTGGATTTACTCTTAGAGACAGGATACGAAATGAGCATATATGTGAAATGGTTGGAGTAGCTCCAATGAAATATAAGATTATATAGAGTCACCTTATATGGTTTGGTCCTGCAAAATGACTGCCTTTCGATGACCCTGCTATGAGAGTAAATGCATTAGATTTGGCCTATGTTAAGAAAGGTGGAGGTAGACCTAAAAAGACTTAGTTAGAAATATTAGAATTGACCTTTCTTTATTAGATTTAAATGAGAATTTGACTTGTAACAAAGCACAATGGAGAAAAAGGATTCATGTAGCCGATCCTACGTAGTGGGATGAAGGCTTGTTGTTGTTGTTGTTGTAGAGAAAGTAATATCTTAACTTTATACGAAGATCTAGCATGCAAAAAATAACAGTTATTAGAGACCAAAATTTTTTTTTCATGAACATCTCTATAAGGGAAAAATTCATTGTGCCTAACCTATTTGAAATAAACAACGCTATATAAATAAAGATATGAAAGTCTACTCTTTTCCATAATCGAAGAAGTTGATATTACAGTATTGAGAATAATTATCTAATTCTTATTACAAGGATTGCAAATAAGTGATGGATGGTGGAGCAATTATATAGCATAAGTCGAGCAACAATAATAAAATAAAATTTGGGTTCCCATGATCAAACAATAAAAATTAAATTACAAGTTCAAATGTTAGACGATGTTGGTTATGGTTGTTAATGGTGGTAATTGGTTGTGATCGGCGAGCAATGCAATAGAGTTCCTTACATTTTTCAGCTCCTC